TTATTTACAAATAAATAAAAATTAAAATTTATATGGTGTTAAAAAAAGTTAAAAAATGGTTTACACCTACTTCTACTTTCTAAAAATCCCGACTAAAGCTTAAATATTTACTATAGAAAAAGTATAGTATGCAAGCTCGCTCGTGCCTAAATTACATTGGTGTATAAAATAGTTTTTATCAAACTTAATACATATAATTATAAGAAAGAATTGAACCTACACCTCGCCAAAGTTTTTTGTTTTGAATGCGTTCCACCAACTTCAAATACCGACAGACAGCTGTTTCGACCTATATTGGGTCTCATCAGTGTCGGGCAACTTGGTGTAGTGGAACACAATTAAAACAAAGGACTCCCTAAGCTTATATGCTCGGTTGTTAAGTCAACAGAGGCGAGATGTAAGAACATCAGGTGATCCACACCGTCAAAAGACGTGGCCTTTGCCGCAATCGGTACATACTATGCAACCGGGACTGCACACAGCAATTGTATCACAGATACTAATATGGCCTAAAACAAAAAACTTTGGCGAGGTGTAGGTTCAATTTTTTCTTATGAATATTACCAGTGATGGGTCAAGAAAGTTTCTTAAAGAAACTAAGAAAATTGAATGTTTACATATAATTATATTAATAAATAGCTGTCAGAGTTTGTTAAAATTAATTATCGAAACTATGAATCATTTTTTTGTTCCAAACAAAACTTATAATTTTATCTAATTTTTCGAAGAGGAGAAAGAAAATTGAAAACAATTAAAAAGGATTGTAAAGGGTACGAGTAGTAGTTTAAGATGGCTTACCGAGTTGAACAGAAAAATACCTAGCTTGTTATGTAATATAAGTAATGAAAAATAACCATTTTTTTGTTAGAATTTTTTGAAAAACTGATGTGATGGAGTAATTCTGAGATATGTTAAGAAAAAGTATTGCAGTGTAAATAGCCACTTCTTGTAGACAGAAATACCAGGGAGGATCAAATATAAACGGGATTCTTGTTTCTTATAACAACCGTAGTCACTATAGTGACTACGGTTGTTAGGACCGGGTCCTAGGTTGTAGTCTGCTTGTGTCCCAATCAGTTCGTTGGTAGCGCTCATATGACTTAGCAAAAGGTGCACCCCATTATTGCGCAACGCATTATCATAAAATTTTTGCTCATGAAAAAGGTCCAGAGGCAGAAATTTTCCAGAGATTGACTGCTTAGCTCGGGAACCAACAAACACTGTCAAGGACTCGTGTGTTTGCCTTGCATAAAGAGTTTAAGGAAGAACGAGAAAATCAGGAACACGATCGACGTCAGCTGGCAAGGTTTTTTACAATTTTTTTTGACCGCCGAGGCATTTTGCTTGTTAATTTTTTGCCACAATCAATGCTGCTTACTACTGCAAGCTGTTGAACCGTTTATTTACATTAACTTTATAGCTTAATTAAATCCGACCAGTTTTTGATAAATGTACTACCCCAGTAGCACAAAGATTTTTTCTAGCATGGTCCAATATTGAAACCCAACATTGGCCCGAAGTTGTTTGACATTATATAACCGATATTGGAAATCCGCATTGGCCCGAAGTTGTTATACATTATGTTCTAGGAAAGCTGAGGGAGAAATTGAAAAAAAAAGATAGCCACCTAGTACTCACTACGCAGTAGAATTTTCTAAAGTGATATGTCACGATGGTGTCGACAAACGTTTGTTTTCAGGAAATGTTTATGATACTTAGGGGCGTAGAAGCGGGGGGGTGTCAATGCCCACCGAAATGATGAGGGGGAGAGGACTTGATATAAAATGTAAACTCCAAATTCTTTGAAAAAATCTACCAATAAGACAGGTCGTGTACCGTCTATGTTATTCTTAATTACTATGAAATGCTAAAATCGTTTGTATCGTGTGCTAAAATGATCAGCTTGAGCTTTATTAACGTAATAACGATTTTTATTGCTAATAAGACAAGAAATCGCATATTACCCTTGTTATTCTTATGGTAATATGAAAGAATGCCCTTTATTATTTTTACCCATTTGGTGCTAAACAATAAGGATGGTAGTCGGTTGCGCCATCCCCAACTTAAAACCTTTCCTACGCCACTATAGTATACTATATACCAAGTATAGACATATCCTGAAAACAAACGTGTGTCGTTACATATTAAATCCGAAAGCATAAAAAATAATATGCCAACCTTGGATAAACATTGGCAATAATATATTAAATAATCATTTTATACCAATATAGGGCTAACATTGGCTAAATAAATCCAATATTGGCCCATATAAAATATTGGGTATAGACGCGCTCCATATACGACCAATATTTTGTGCTACGGGGTATGATCCACATCAAATAAGGAATGCAGAAAAATATATGAGGTTATTTTATAAAAAAAACAATACTATATACCTGTCATTATAATGCAAATTTGGTCTTATTTTCTAAAAATAATACATAATATGACCTTAATATACAATTAGCGTTAAACTGACATACATAACATCAATTATTTGACTGCATTTCTTATTCAAATAGCTCTAAAACAGTTCAAAAAAAACTTCCTTATGTTTGCATGCAGTGTGTCTTTTCAAGTGACTTTTTATGTTTGTTGTGTAACCACAGTTTTTTACTTGGCAAATAAAATCTTTGCAGCAACTGTGTTTCCGTTTAAAGACTTTGTTGCAATGTTTACAAATAGGATTATCTGAAACAAAAATACAAAATAAGTAAATGTATAATAAAATTATTACATTAAGAATATCTTAAGCCAAAACACATAAAAAAACAATTTAATATTAAATTATTTTAATAAACATCAATGATTAAAATAGAAATACATTTTATTAAACTAAAAAATTGTATTATAAAGTTCTCCATGTTTAGACGCTGTGTGTCTTTTTAGGTGACTTTTAAATTTGGTTTTATACCCACAATTTTCAACTTGACATAAAAAACGAGCGGCTTTGCCACATTCGTATTTTTGATGTTGGTATAAATTGTGTTTCCATTTGTAGGACCTCTTGCAAGTTGAACAAATATAATATTCTAAAACAAAAAGTACTTAATAATTTTCTATAATAAAATTTATATTAAATATAATTAATGTTAAATTAATAAACTTAATTTAAAAATATAAGGTATAAGGTTCACTAAAATATGATAAGATTATTTTGTGGACAAAAACTTTTTTAAATAATGATTTGGTTTCGTCTATACAAATATATTTTAAAATATTAAATATAAAAAAAATAAAAATAACAACACTAATATAAATAGCATGTATTTTATTAGCCTTTTACATAGATAATACAAATAATATCCCTAATATAAAAGTTTTAAATTTAGTCTATATACACATGATTGATAAACTCATAGACATATTACAAGAATGGACACGTAATTCCCATTGGTGTGTATTGTAAGTAAAGGATGCCATATATGGCATGTACATATACCTTATATATAGCTTATATATGTAAGCATATATGTAAGTTTGTTTGGTGTGTTTTGCTTAAAACATAGTTAAAAATGTATTTTACAACGAACACAAAACAGAATTTAAACTCACTATTTCGCAATTTATAAAGCTTCAGTCCGTGACTAAAATGACCAAAAACCACTGTTGTTAACTTTAGCCTGTGACTAAAATGCCATAAAGTCACAGCTCATCAATGGAGGAGATAAATATATTTTTCTACTCCCACCTTTAAAACGCCCTTTATCGTATATGTTTCCATGACACTAAGTGATCTTTTAAAGTCACATTGACAAGTTGTGGCTTTATGGCGATTTAGTCACTGGCTGAAGTTAGCAACAGGTTTTTAGTCACGGGCTGAAGTTAGTTTTAAGTTAGTTGACAGTTGTCAAATGTCATACAATCGTTAAAATAAAGTGCCTTTCTTGTAAAATCCACTGTAAATCCACTGTAAAGTGCTCATAAAACATTTTCTTTACTTTCACTGTGAAAAACTGTTAATGTTCAAGAAATACATTTAGATTTATAAGCTTTATAATATGTGTTTATAAAATAAAAAAATTTGACGGTGACACACAGATTCCCCTATTGTTTCATAGATGGCGCTCTATGCAAATTTTTGATTTAAATCATTTGTTGGCTTTATTAAAAATTAAGTGAGGTTAAATTTGTCAAATGTCAAATATTTAACAATTAAAATTGGCTGTAAATTCTTCTGTGTTCGTCTAATCTATAAAGTATAGGATGCAACTCGTTTTTATTAAACACTCGCTCGCAAGCTTCGCTCGTGCCTAATAAAACTCGTAACTGTTTATAAAACTTAATACATAATATACTATTATTTTATCAGTATCTGTTAAACCAGTTCCAAAATAAACAAAAATGCAGTCTTTTATTCGGAATTTCATCATTTATAATTAAATTATACATGAAACTTGGTTCACACTTTCAAAATTATCAAAACGATGTGATTACGTGTCCACCATATTTCATTGTCTAAGGATAAACTAATATACATAAAAAAATCAACTGATGATTTGACAATTAAAGTGACAAAATTTAATACCAAAAATAATTAAGGCGTAGCAACGAGTTGCAAAATGTTCAATAATTATGGGATAGTCCCATTTGTATGAGATTTAAGATATCCTTTTACAAATATTTCATGTTTCTTATTGATTTTTTATAAAAAAGGAATAAAGGGCGAGCATCAGGTACTAAGTGACGTAACCTTGTGATTAGTTTCTTAGTTTGTCAGCTGAATTGTGTTTTTAAGAATAATTAGATAATTCTATGCCTGTGTTTGCTTTTAGAATATGACAATTAGTTAAAAGATGAATTGTCACAATTTGTTCATACTGCGAAGAGATTTTGTAGTTAGAGTAACCAGTATTATTTCAAAAATAAAAAATAATTTATAAACATGTAATAAAAGGATGAATTATTATAGTCTTACAAATAAGTTGCATATGTTTTTAAATATAAAATAAATGTACATAACTCTTCACTTTAAAATTAAAACTTGTATTATTAATGGCCTATTGTAGTTTCATGTTGTTTTCAATTTTACTATTTTGAGTTTCCTCATAATATTCAATATTTTCTTGCTTAATACAAATATTCTCCTTATGCATAGTTATACTGTGCTCGCTTACATCAATACTTTCTTGCTTTAAGTTAAAATTGAATCCAGGATTTTCCTGCTCAACATCTGCATTCATATCCTGCTTGATTTCGCTGATATCCTGCTTTAACTGTAGATTTTCCGGTCCACCGGGGTTTTTTTGTTCGGCTTCTTGTGATTGGTGCACCCAAACGTGGCTTTTTAAGTGATCCTTTCTTTTGAACGTTTTTGGGCAGTAGGCGCAAGTAAACATACGCTTTGCACCACATTCGTATAGATAATGCCGTTTTAAAGTGTGTCGGTGTAGATAGGATTTGTCACATCTAGGACAATGATATCGAAAATCTAAAAAATAATTATATTAGTAACGAATATTTTTAATTATGAAATTATTAATCCCACAATTTACCTTAGGGTAATTCCATTTATTAGCCACCAATGAGTGCACCTCATATACTCTAATTTTATTTCTTTTTTAACTGTAAATAGACATGGACCCAAGAAGTGAAAAAAACTCCCCTTTTCTTTTCTCCCCCTATCACCTATTTATACAGGGCTACGCAAAAGTTACTATGCAGACCTAACTTAAAAAAATTGTACTTTTTTTGCTAATGAATCTATCGACACTAAACAAACTGTTAATTGTTAAGAAAATATTTCTCTTTTAAACCATATAGGACACATTTAGTTATTGATGACCTAAATGGTCTTTGGGAATTTTTTTATAAATGCAATTTTTTGGCAAAATTGTCTAATTTTATAAATTCATATATTCTTAGAACAACTTGCCAGCAAAATTTTTTTAATGTAGTTTGTTACCATGGATCTTACTTTATATAAAAGCAATGAAAACATTTTCAAATGATATTGGCTAAGAGTTCAAAAAATATAATAAAAATCCATGTTTTCGAAAAATCACTATTTTCAGCCATTTCATGGTTTAAAAAGGCTATGTTTGAGTGAGTCGATTTAAACCAATTTATGCTTATCATCACATGCACTTATTAGCCTCCAATAACCATAAATAAAATTATTGTGTATTTTGCTTTTAACTGGGCTGTGGCTGTATGTACAGCCCAGCTATAAGCAAAATACACAATATGCCCACCTGACTTTCAACCATTTCATGGTTTAAAAAGGCTATGTTTGAGTGAGTCGATTTAAACCAATGTATGCTTATCATCACAGGCACTTATTGGTCTCCAATAATCATGAATAAAATTATTATGTATTTTTCTTTTAGCTGGGCTGTGGATGTATATGTCCACCTGTGACTATATCCATATTATTAACCAAATATTATTAACCATATATTTCGAAAAAGCGTATTGCATCTTTAAAATAACTTGACAGCCTTGAATTGACTTCTAATTCATTCTAAATAAAAATATAAAATATAAAAACCACATACAGTGGCGTCGAAAATTAACTACCCATTTATTTATTTTTTAAATTAAGAAAACAATCAAATGTACAAAAATTAATTAAATGACTAAAAGACATACTTTTCATAAACTTTATATTTAAACAAAATAAAACAGGTATTAAATCCTAAATTTGAATTAAACCTAACTGCATATACTTAAACTGAAGAAATCATATTCTTAACTTTTACAATCACCTAAAAAACCTATTTACTATTTTTACCTCTAAAAAGTTATATGAATCTGAAAATTTTCTTATGTCTATCAAGAGGAATAAATTAACGACTTATGGCCTTTAAATGGATCGCAGCAGACTTCACCAAAAATGTTGGTAAAATTATATAGATACTTTAATTTGTGATACCTACGTACAAATATCGGTTACAGTTGCATCCACTCGCCATTCTATTATTTGTTTTCCTCCTTAGTACAAGATTCAATCTTGGAAAATCGCGAAAAATATTTTTATCCGAAATCTGCCGAAAGTAGTCAACAATCGGCAGTAAAGTAAAAGAAATCGGCAGTAAACTAGAACTTTATTTTTTTAATAAAAGTTCTTTTAGGTGATTGTAAAAGTTAAGAATATGATTTCTTCATTTTAATTATATGCAGTTAGGTTTAATTGAAATTTAGGATTTATTACCTGTTTTATTTTGTTTAAATATAAAGTTTATGAAAAGTATGTCTTTTAGTCATTTAATTAATTTTTTGTACATTTGATTATGTTTTAAAAAATAAATAAATGGGTAGTTAATTTTCGACGCCACTGTATGTGGTTTTTATATTTTATATTTTTATTTAGAATGAATTAGAAGTCAATTCAAGGCTGTCAAGTTATTTTAAAGATGCAATACGCTTTTTCGAAATATATGGTTAATAATATTTGGTTAATAATATGGATATAGTCACAGGTGGACATATACAATGTATATTATACATCCACAGCCCAGCTAAAAGAAAAATACATAATAATTTTATTCATGATTATTGGAGACCAATAAGTGCCTGAGATGATAAGCATAAATTAGTTTAAATCGACTCACTCAAACATAGCCTTTTTAAACCATAAAATGGCTGAAAGTCAGGTGGGCATATTGTGTATTTTGCTTATAGCTGGGCTGTACATACAGCCACAGCCCAGTTAAAAGCAAAATACACAATAATTTTATTAATGGTTATTGGAGGCTAATAAGTGCATGTGATGATAAGCGTAAATTGGTTTAAATCGACTCACTCAAACATAGCCTTTTTAAACCATGAAATGACTGAAATTAGTAATTTTTCGAAAACATAGATTTTTATTATATTTTTTTGAACTCTTAGCCAATATTATTTGAAAATGTTTTCATTGCTTTTATATAGAGTAAGATCTATGGTAACAAACTACATTAAAAAAATTTTGCTGGCAAGTTGTTCTAAGAATATATGAATTTATAAAATTAGACAATTTTGCCAAAAAATTGCATTTTTAAAAAAATTCCCAAAGACCATTTAAGGCATTAATAACTAAATGTGTCCTATATGGTTTAAAAGAGAAATATTTTCTTAACAATTAACAGTTTGTTTAGTGTCGATAGATTCATTAGCAAAAAAAGTACAATTTTTTTAAGTTAGGTCTGCATAGTAACTTTTGCGTAGCCCTGTATAAATAGGTGATAGGGGGAGAAAAGAAAAGGGGAGTTTTTTTCACTTCTTGGGTCCATGTCTATTTACAGTTAAAAAAGAAATAAAATTAGAGTATATGAGGTGCACTCATTGGTGGCTAATAAATGGAATTACCCCTTACTAAACAGTATATGCTTGGGCCAATCCATATCAAATCAACTAATTTAATTTAAAAATATTGCTGTGAAAGTATTCATTAATTTTTTAGATGTTCAGTTTTTATTCATTTTGTATTGCCTTTCGTGTTAATGAACCCTCTAACTTCTTGGTTTTTAGATATTTATTTTATACAAAAACCACGTTTAATTTACTACTTAGTTTTATGAGTATAAGTATGAGTATGGGGACGTATGGCAGGCCCCATCGGCATTACCTTACACTTATCTCCCAGGGTTATTTTACCCCCCTTCCGTTCTCCTTCGTATACCGGCACTGCACAGCATTACATGTGTTTGTTGGATCCGAAGTTTTTACGCCGGCTGGTAGATCTACCCTGGTAGGTCGTGGATGACAGTGTCGATGGTTAAGGCCACTCCCGGATTTTTGTCGCCGGGTCGGGCCATACGCCCAGGTTAGGCTAGTGGAGAGGGGGACTAGGAGGGTAAAAGTTGGTTTTTGGAGGTCATTGAACTAACCCAAAACTAATTACAATCCGGAATTCTCCTCAACCGGCGCTTTAGTAATAACCCCATTCAATTGGGATTCATGAATGGGGGTAGAAGTGTTAGTACACTGCTAGAACCTGTCCTTGTTTCTGGACGTCTCTGTCTGGGTCAGTTTCCGGTTCCTGGTTACCTCTTTAGAATTGTTTGCCCCCCTGTGAGATACTGAATCTTGTCTTCAGTAACGAAGTGTTGGAGTGCCGGCTACCGACCTTGTATATTCTTTATTTATTTTATTATTAAATTAGTGTTTATATAAATTTAATTTAAAAATATGAATATTAATATACAAAATAGATAAAGCCCTAAAGTGTTCGTAATTGGAGTACGACCCTATGGCAGGCATTGCAGGGGTCGCTCTAATATAAAATATAGGAAAATTTAGAAAAACTTTCTCTTTTACAATTAAAAATGTTAAAGATAATTACGACTCACGTTTAATATTTTGTTTTGGGTATAGTCTTTATAGTATATTAATTACTTTGCTAAAAAGTCCTTAGGTTTGCATTTTTTTAACGTGTCTTCAAATATTTTAATTCATCTCAAATTGGGTATTTTTAATCTAAAAAATACAAAATGTTCAAAAAACATTTTTTTATTCTGTTACAATTTCATCACTGAGACTTTATTAGTTTTTTGATTGGACATTTTTAAAAATAGCTAAAATATTCGATTTGTCTAAAATCTGCGGTCATGGCCATGACTTTTTTTAGCTATTTTCAAAATGTCCAACTATAAAACTAATAATGGCTCAGTGATGAAATTTTAACTACTTATTACAACACAAGTTTGTCCCTTTTGAGATGTTTAAGCTTAAAAATACTGGTAGACGAACGCAATATTTGAAAACCCATTAAAATGACACTGTTGGGCATAAAACTTTTTAGGAAAGTAGTATACTATAAATACTATATCCACAAAAAATATTTAAGGTGCGTATCTTGAGTATCTTTTTAACATTTTTAATTGTAAAAAGGAGATTTTTTATTTTGAAAACGTTAACATTGACCTATTTTTTTTGTATATTTAAAATTAAGTAGGCCTTAAAATACTGGACAGAAAAAATTGTACATTTTATGATATTTAGGAAGGTTTTCGTTTAAATTAAATATCTTAAAAAACCAAGAAGATACAGAGTTTAACGCAAACCTCTGTAAAATGCAAAATAGGCTGTCGCACAAAAACTGAACATAAAAATTAAATATTAAAAATGTGAGTTTAGTACTAACATAGGTAAAAAATAAATAAATTATGCCAGCCACCATGATTGGTTGATTTTATATGGATTGACCAACTTAAATTTTTTTTGTAAGAACTTAAAACACAGTTGTAGGTATATAAATATTTTATTTTAAATAAAGGATTTTTTTTAGAAATATATAAAAATTGTAAAACCAAAAACATAGATTTTTATTAAAATAAACTAAATAATGTGTTAATGTAATTTTAGGCTGCCAGAATTACAATTAAATATCAATATATGTACTTCAGAGCCAGACTGT